TATTATATATATATATATATATATATATATATATATATGAACTATAATAATAATCATTATTTTCCCCATATTAAAGTATTATCAAAATTCTTATTGGCTATATGAGAATATATATATATATATGTATATATAATAAATAAACTACTGAAAAGTGATGATCTTTCGTTTTTCGAGGTATACAAAGATTCGAATGAGAAGTAAAATTTTGTACTTTTACTTTGCACTTTGTCGTAATATATAATGACATACTTTGTTCCTTAAGAATATTATTATTTATTATTATTAATTATTTATTTATTTAAAAATTGTATGTCGTGAATTGTGTTATCGATCTAAAAATCATTTATTATTTTGTATATTATTTCATTGCTACTCTTATTATAGTTAGAAAAAAGAAAAAGAAATGTAATGCTTCATATTTTATTATAAATCTGATTCACTCTTTATTGAAAAAAAAAAAAAAAGAAATAAATAAGTTATAATAACTGAAGAAAATAAACTATTGACAATTTTTCCCTAATTTATCTTCAACGTCACTTAATATATATATATATATATATATATTTTTGTTTTTTTCGTCTTAACTCGACTGCATGTAAGAAAGAGACAAAAAGAAACATGTAGACGACGCAAGGCGCACGGTTGGGAGGTTTTGTTTATAAATTAATAAGAATTATACATAACTTCAATTTGTAAGTTAATTAAATCACTGGTAATAAATACATTGAAATAGGAGGATGTGTTCGAGAGCACAAGAAACACATCATCCACAGAGATTTATACGGGGTTCACGATCAGTTTTTTTTTTTTTTTAAAGTATGTAATATAATGTAGTAAAAAACTTATTGTTTAATTACAGACCGCTTGCCAATAATACGCTTTTGCACATTTAAGTAATAACAATTGTTTATATATCGCATTAAAACAGATAACATTTCACAATAATGCTACATCACGTCGCTGTGATTTAATGTGAAAAATCTAAACTGTGTTTTTATAGTATCACAGTTTTGTTGTTTTTTTCTTTTTTTTGTTTTCTTTCTTTCTTTCTTTCTTTTACTGTAATACATACTACAGTGCGTAATTTTGGCTACTAATTATTGCATAGAAAGAGTTTCACATTGCAAATATCTTAATTTCATCTATTCAGTAGTTTATCTTCTTTAATATTATATACCTATAGTATTATAGATCGCAACAAATAGCTTATTATTATACTTTATGTTTTGAATACTATATTAAACATATAACAACAACAAAGATAATAATTTTCACGCAACTATTATCATAATAAACAATTTTATCTTTTCCATATAGACTTAGATTTCAATGATACTGAATAAAAGAAGAATGGAATATTAATTCAATAAACGAAATACATGCTACTCTCTCTTTCTTTCTCTCTTTCTCTCTTTCTCTTTCAGTTATACGCATTTCATTTAATACAATGCACAAATTTTAATAAAAGCAAGCATCATAGATATTGTATTTATTTATAATATATTTCCATTTGAAAATTAAAATACAACTTTATGTCATGGCAGTTACATGATTTTTTTTTTTTTAATGAAACTGATGATCATATACATGTTTCTCAAATGTACTCCAAAAACCGAGTTTGTATATATGATTTTTGTATTAATTATGTATTTATTATTCATGTCGTATTAATATTCTAGGTAACTATGATAAACTGAGCGTGTATGAAAAACGTAGACTATTATTTATGTTCTTTATCATAAGTGAGATTTTCTTATAATATTGTAATAATATAATATAGCTTATGTATATATATATAATATATATGTATATTGACCAAATGTTACATAAGATGTGGTAATGAATAGAACTATTCCTATATCTTCGATTGTAATGTAATTGTAATGTCATATTATAGAGTGCTTTGAAAATCTATCATTTCTTCTTCTTCTTCTTCTTTCTTTCTTTTCACTAGGACAGAGACAAATTGGTGAGAGATCGTTTGGAGTTTTATATGATTTGGAAAAAAGTCAATATCTATCTAATGTTTCTTTGTTTGATGTAATAATAATAATAATAGCGCATTGATGATGATGATAATAATAATTATGTATATTGTAAAGTATGTAATTATAAATATGAGAACAATTACGGAGAGATATACAAAAAAGGATTGTTCTATGGTGAATAATATGTTGATGGATGTAATTATTAATGTATGTATGTAGAGCATATAGCATTTTCATGAGAGATCTTCGAAGCAGTCTCCACAGGATTTGTATACGCATAAAAATGGCATACGAATATTGGAAACTGTTTATTATTTTTCTGCTACATTAGATAAATTTAAATATGATTAGAGATTTGTCCAAGCCTAATAATGATAATCGATAAGATTATATAATGCATAGTATCCAGTGATGGGAAGAGTATATGATGAGAACACAAGTACGTAAAAGATATATATATATATATAGCATCATACCAAGGTATATTTGTCTCTTATTCGTTTGTACTTGTGTATAAATATTACATTTGGTAAATTGCGATAGAAAATCAATCAATCAATCAATCAATCGAGTCGTTTGCGTACATAGTATAAATTGTTTAATGTACCTTTTGCATACTACTACTTTTCTTTATTTTTTATTTAAACGCATTTAACAAATAGATAAGATCTATTATATACGGCACGTAGTAGTAACATAGAGAATAAACTAGATAACTGTTATATATGCATTGAACATGAAGAAGATGTGTGTGTATGTGTATGTGTATGTGTGAATTCATGTAAAAGTTTCCTACATACAATGTAAGAGTAGTATATACATACATATCTAGATAATTTTCTATTCGTATGTCTAATATCACCTAGGTACGTCTTTAATCTAGTACCATATACTTTCTATCTAGAAACTTTAAAAAAAAAAAAAAAAAAAGAAAAAAAAGCATCCCTCCCATCACTGTATAGAATTTATAATTATATAGTACAGTTTGGCTCAATGAAGGGGACATACCTTTTCTCGTTAAGATGTTCCTTTCTTTTTATTATTATTATTATTATTATATATTTATTTTTTTAATGATTTGCCAATATCGATTGTATTGTGTCAGCAAATTACTCGTGTGTTGAGTTTTCGCGAGTCGAATAGAGCAACTCTCGTAGTAAAAAGTCTGTTTTTAAACAGATTATCTTTATCGTCGTTTTTAATTTTTTTTAATGCATCAAATATAAAGTAAAATGATATGTATATACAATACTCCAAATAAATACCAATATGTATCAAAAAGCTTAGGCAATATATTTTAGCAATTTTGGATTGCACATAAAATTAATCAATTTCGTATGTTCGTTAATTCGTTCAGTTCATTCGTTCATTCTCGCTCTCGTTCTTTACTTCTCTTTTCTTTTCTTTTCTTTACTTTACTTTACTTTTTTTATACATTCCTTTCCATTCTATGTATGTATTATTTTGAAATGAATATTATATGATGAGATATAGAAGTAGAAAGATTAACAAATCTACATCGTCACATCATATAAATATTATTTTGGCATAAAATAGATTGATTTTAATCTGAATTTTCTTTTGTTATTCTTTTAAAAAAGAGAAAGAAAATTCATCAATTAATAAATTATTGCGATTTTGGAGAAGAAGGTTAATAAATAGCTATTCTTGAATAATTAATAAATCAAGAAATAAGAAACTCTGTGATGTATTTCTTTTATTTATAGCTTTTAAAGTGTTTATGTGTGTGTGTATGTATATGTGTGTTTGTTTGTTTAGTTTATCTTCATCTTTTGGTATTGAAAAATATCAATGATCCCCCTCCCCCCCTTAACTAGTGTGAAATCATTGGCTTTGTAAAAATGTTCAGATATAATTCATCAGCCTTTCCATACTAAAAGAAAAAAGATATTGCGATCTCGCGCTCTCTCAAGATTTTTCGACTAAAACATACTCAATGACGTGTTTTTATTATTATGACATATCACGAGCTGCTGGAACACACCTAGGTCCATGCTTAGAGCATTCCTAGCGTAACAATACAGCACCTAGGTTTTTTTGTACTTTTTAATATTTCGCATATATAATAGAGTTATATTTATGTTATACTAACATAGACTTATAAATGAGACAATATATATATTTACATTATGCAAACATGACTATAAGTAGTTTATGGAAATTCCTATTTTTCGCTCGATCAAACATAAACGATCATAAACGATCATAAACGATCATAAACAATTTCTTCTTTCTCTCTCTCTCTCTCTCTCTCTCTCTCTCTTCCTCTCTCTCTCTCTCTCTCTCTCTCCAAATTTTAATTATTCATTTAATAACGCATCCTCAATATGCGTATAAATTGTTTTAATTTGTAATAATCATGTAATTCGTTATACGCGAGCGTTGTTGGTGAACTATTTTTCGAAAGGTATTTAATTATTTTCTTTCTTTTCTTGTTTTCTTTTTTTTTCCCCGTATAATACAATATCTACATTGAATTATAATTAAAATTCGAAAATAAAGGAAACTTACATTAAAAATTTCAAAATGAAACATAACAACAGCAAAGGCTTTTTGCATATCACATAAACTAGACAATTTTTAAATCGTTTTGTTTAGAATCATATTTATCGTTTATCTAAATACTAAAAATTGAATATAAGAATGCGCTTATCTGGCCGAATGATAAGCGTCTTCAATAATTATTTTCTACAAGGATCGATTTCTAATTATTACTAACCGATTGGACTACCGATTCGGTCTCATTATCGTTCGAACGTAATGAGACATCGGTTTCTTCGGTGCCTTCTGTACTATCCGCAACACTCGCGTTTCCTACTTCTTCCTTTTTGACACTGTCATTATTGGTTGATTGTAAATGTTGTATTAGAAGTTGACTACGTAGCCTGGAGATTTTACGAGCATCTGATCGACGATGTCGTCTTAACTGTGCGTTTTCAGAAGCTAGACGACGAACTAGCTCCAAAACATCCTGAGGAACGTCAAGTGCTATCAAACGTTCCTCCAAATCCATGGCTGTGGTGGTTCCTTCAGAATCCGAATCACTTTCAGGGGACGACGTGCCAACTTCGGCTGCTGGTGGATCAACGTTTACGGTCGACGAAGTTACTGCAGCACTTTCCTCTTCTTCCCCAACTTTTTCTTCGATAAATGTTCTTTTTTCTTGTGATACTTCCTTTCGATCGTTCTCTACCGTACATGTAGGGAAAAGTGGATAAGAGGAGGTTCCACTACCACCACCACCACCACCACCACCACCACCTCCAGAAGAAGCAGGCCCAGGAGACGATTTTTCGAGTTTAACTGCAAACTCTTGTTTTGGTACAAGTTCCTGTTGCTTTTCATTTGGACTTTGGGGACGTTGTTGACTATGATGACGGTGTTCTTGATGATGTCGTTGATGATGAACAGGAGGTACTATAGGTGGTATTGTAGGTGTTGGTATTGGTGCCAATGCAACATTTGGTTGGAAATGTGGCTCAAATCTTTCACATTCAGATAATGGCACTACACGTTCTGGATGTTGCAGTACTGGTGGACCACGACTGAGATAGGAAGGTACCATGGAAGAGCTGTAGATGTAAAATACAAGAAAGATATGAGAAGTTATCTTTAATAGATATCCTCTATTTTTTTTCAATTAATTAATTTACCTGTCTCTATGTTTACGAGAAGCAGAGGCATTCCAAGGCCTAAACGCAGACACTCCTCTGGTAGCTAATTCAAATACTGCCCATTGCATCTGAAAATATGGATCAGTCGTGCTAGCCACTGAAGATACTGGATGAAATATGCCTAATCCATTTCCATGGTAACTGGTAGGGCACTCATGTTTGCCCATTTCCTTCTTCGTTCTTTTTATTAACTTTTCTGGCTCATGACCTAACTGCAATATATATATATACAATGTTTTTAAAAATATATCCAAGAAATATTTAATTAGAGTGAATAGTAATTTGCCTTGACATTGATTCTTTAAAGGATGATTATCACACACAGATTGGAGTTGTCAACAGTATTAGTGTTTTTCAAGAAATTTATCGTCATATCGGACACAGGAATCTTTAAGCGATTATGAGATAAGCTTAACTATGATGATCCTAGAAAGATAATCTTTACTTTGTTTCTCTAAATATAATCCGATTAAAATGAAAAAGATAACCGCGAGATAAAATTCAAGTGTTTTTTTTTTTTATCAAATCATCATTATCATATTTATAAAATAAGTTGTTTTTAAACAAGCACCAATAAGCAATGAGAGATACAGAGACAAAGAAAATAATAAAATATAAAAATACCTCCAGTTTCCGCTTAGAGTTAAGTACAAGATGTTTCTCTTTAAGTTCTCGAAAGACAGCTAGCAACTTGTTGTAGTTTTGTTGATCTCTAGAAAGTAGAAGATAAGAACGCCAGTTAGCAGAGTCGAAGCCCCAATGACAGGTACGATTTTCCAGGGACCTATGAGCATGTCTGACAAAACGTTGAGGAGAGAATTGGCAGCCACATTCGAGACATTCTATGCACACAGAATCCTCGGATTCGAAGAGATCGGCGTCGAAGATACCCTTGCACTTTCCAAAACACTCGTGATACACTTTGAACCTAATGATAGAATCATCCTCGATAGTTGCCTTACCACCGCAGACTTTCTTATCAATACTATCTTGACTTTGTAATATGTGAGAAGGCTCGCATGGTTCTGTCCTCGATAGGAGAGCACTGACGAGCCTCTCGGCATCAGTTTGAGTGATCAGACCGCACGAAGGCGCGTTACGCGGTAAAATACCGGAAAGTTTCAATTCTTCTAATTGATCTCGTGTACTTCTCGAACAATAAATTTGCAATTCGTCGCATACCTGATGGATTTGTTGCAAAGAAAAATCTTGTAGAACGGTGTTCAATACTTGTGGCAAACATAACCTCCTTTCGCCACCAACGACAAAGCAAGATATACTTTCTCCCTCGAGTACGGTCTCACACCTTTCGGAACAATTCTGATCGGGAGCAGTAAGAATGGGTATTTGAAACTCGAGATCTCTTTTCTCGCAAACGACCTTAGGACGATCAGGAGGTGGTGGATCTTCGTCGGAGTCATCCAACGGCCGATCAAAGTTTGCTCGCCTTAGTCTGGAAGGAAGGCTGTTGTTGATCGGCGGTGGTGGAACAACCGGTGCTTGGTCATTGCCTTTGTCGATGTCTTTAGGCGAAGTAAGTTCGTTTATTCGGTCAATTAGACGTTCAGTAGCAATGCAATTTCCGGAACGACTTGGTGGTACGGAGAAATGAAAAGGTGGTTGTTCTTGCAATAAAGTCTTACAGTCCATGCCCAAAAGGGCCGAGCTCGGACCTTGTAGGCTCTTCACAGCCGATAGTTGATATGTCTTCAAGACGGTTTTCAACTGTGGACTGTAAGATTGACCGTTTGTATTGCCGGGTAATAATGTCTCCATTATTCGAGAATTAGTTCTCCTGTGGTCCTGGTGATGGTCGTTGTCGTTGTCGTTGTTGTTTTTATTACTTTTGCAGTGTTTTACTATTCTCGTAGACGACGTCGGCGCCACTGTGTGTGTAGACGTTGTTATTGTCGCCGTTGTTGTTGGATGATATATTTGTTATTGTCGTTGTGACGGTCGTGTTGTTTTGTCGCGAGACAGGAGTAAGACGGACGAGGACCTCGAACGGCCTCGCGATCGCGTCTTACGATCGCGTCTTACGATTGCGCCAGTGGACACACGCGAAATCTGCGACGCGCGAAATGCCTCCTCTCGGCACCTATCTTTCTCCTTCTCCTTATCCTTCTCGTTGCTTACCGCCACCTCTTCCCCTCGCCCACCACCCACCACCCACCCACCACCACCACCACCGCAAACTCAGCCACTGCTGCTACCACCACCACCACACCACTATACTACTACACTATCTTATTACACTACACGCACACACACTAGTATACTATACTATACTTCTTTCTCTCTCTCTTTCTCTCTGAAACTCGTTCGCTCTTTCTCTCTCTTCTTATTTTTCGAGTTCACTCGACGGCATTCGTGGCATTATCGTAATCGCGTACGGGACCGCGTCCACGATCAACGTGAACGCAACGAGGTCGATGTAGTAGAACGTTGCTGCTGGTGCGTCGTCCATCTCTCATGGACGAACGACGACGACGACGACGACGACGACGACGACATCCAACCAGTCCTCTACTTCTTAGTCCCTTGCACGCGAATCGTCCCTCTTTGCTTGCTTCTTCTCTCTCTCTCTCTCTCTCTTTTTCCCTTCCCCTCTCTCTCTCCTCTCCCTCCTCTCGTGCGTGCTGCTTTGCTATCTTTCTCACTCGTGCAGCTAGCTGGCGAGCGCGCGCGCGCGCCTCTACGTGCCTCTCTTCCTCAAGTCTGTCCTTCCTTCTCGATCGGCATTATTATGTTTGACGAAGGGTAAGCGACGGCGAGGACGTTGACGATGTTGACGACGACGGCTGCGGAGACGACGACGACAACGGCGGCGATCCACCGTAACGTCGCGATCTTCATAAACATGATAATATTCGCGCACGCACTATCGAGGCGTAAGACGCGGTACAACCAACGACACTACGATGACGACTATGATAATGAGGATGACGATAACAAAACGACGATGAATAATGACCAACACAACGACGATGAGGAAGGCAGCAAGAACAGGGACAAATGAATAGCCACCATACGAAATTCACCACCACCAAGCACTAATATAACCGTCGTTTTCTTTATTATTTCTGTCAATTACTCCACGAGATACAGGGGACAAGCTCATCGATGGCATACGATGCACATTACTGAGAGAGAGAGAGAGAGAGAGAGAGAGAGGAGAGAGGGGAAGGAAAAAACTTGATTCGATGACGGGGGAATAAACGCCCTCGTACGGTTTTGCCAAGGTTTTCTCTCCTTGACGAATAGCAGAGAGAGTAAAGCACACTTTGATCACGAACGTCGTCGGCCGTTGTTGGTTTGTGCTTTTGGGAACCACCGGGTTCTTATCGAATCAGAGAACTCGACAATAGAGAAATGACACATGTCTGTCCGTCCTCTTGTCTGTTTGCCTGTTTGTCTGCCCACCCGTTCTTTCCTTCCTTCCTTCCTTCCTTCATTCGTTCGTTCGTTCGTCCGTCCGTCCGTCCGTCCGTCCGTCCTTCTCCTCCGTCTGTCTTCCGTCTGGTCGTCCGTCTGTCTCTCCTTCTATCGCTCCCACCACTGCTACCCTCTTTGTCTCCTTCTGGGCCACCGACGCCCCCCTGTAGATTTCGCTCTCTATCTAATCTATCTATCTATCACTCACTCACTCACTCACTCTCTCTCTCTCGCGTGCGTCGACCAGTCCGTCGTCGCTATCGCTCTATCTCGCTTCAATTCCACTATGTATTCCACCAATCCTCTCCCCTCTCACTCTTTCATTCTCTCTCGCTTCCTTGTACCCCACCACAGGCAGTAGCAACAGCAGCAGCAGCAGCAGTCGGGCTCGGTTGTGCTACGCTTCTTCCCGTCTACGTTCCATCACCATCGTGGCCGCTCTGCTCGCAAGACCGATGCGTAGCCCTCGTTTTGCGCACGCCGTTGTTTTTCACACTGCTCGGCTGCTCCTCCTCTTCCTCTTACTGTCTCCTCCAACCACGTTGTCAATGTCGCCACCGTGCAGTTCTCACCGTTAGCATTACGAACGTAAACGTATATACTTACACTACTACTACTACTACTACTACTACTACGTGCCGGTACTACGATATACCGTACAACCATACGACCATAAGACCATACGACCTCCGCAAACGGTCGCTCGTTTGGCTGGCTGGCTGGTTGGTTGGTTGGTTGGGCGGTCGGTCGTTTAGTCGTTTAGCGCAATTAGCAATCAGCACAAACGCAAAGCGACAACGACGACGACCGTATTCGCACGCAAAAATAAAAAGCAAAGGAATATATTATTCGGGCGCAACCGACGCTCTCTGCCACCGTTGTCGACGATCGACTTGCGACTCGGCGCGACGCCTCTAACCCTTCCCCGCTACCCCATCTTCTCTTTTCACCTCCCTTCTCACCCGCTTGCCCTGGGCATTCGCGCCTTGCGGCGCAGCAACGAGATCGACGGCGACCCGCCGTCGACCCGTCGCCCTCGTCGTCGTCGACGTCGTCGTCGTCGTTGTGTTCCCTGTCCTCCTCTCTTTTACTCTTATTTCGTCCCCTTATTCCTTCTTCTGCTGTCGTTGTATCGTCAACAATAACGAGAACAACGACGACCATGGATATTATCATGTCGTTGGTCCTACGATAGACATCGTGCACCAACGTAACACGATTTACTTCTTTCTACGTCGAAACGACGACGTCGACGACGTCAACGCGCCAACTTATCGATCGTACGCGTTCTTTCTCTCCTCCCTCTCTCTTTAACTAATGTAAGTCGAACGCGTTTGTACTCTTTCATGATTCCTTTGCAATGCGTTTGCAGGGAAAGAAAGAAAAAGATAACGACATTTTTCTCATCTATTTATCGTTGTTGTAAACAGTAATAATATTTATTTTATGCTTTGTAAAATATAACGTAATAAAATAGTAGTATTAATAAGCATCAAGGGGGTCTTCTCCAAGGGCCGACCCAACGTCGCCCCTGCTGCGACATCATCGTTGTCGTCGTCGTCGTCGTCGTCCATCGTATCCATTTTTTTGCCTTCCTCTCATTTTCTTTATTGCGCACATGCTCTTTCCTTTCCTCTTTCTATCGCGCAAGCTCACGTACGGGTACTCGCGTAAACACGAGCTCTCGTGCGCGCGCGCGCGTGCGTGCTGCGGGACTCGTGGCAGCCGTTCGGAAGAATCCCCGTAATCTTGATGCATATCTCTTTCTCTCTCCATCTCTCGTAGCACCGTCCTTTCGTATCCCTACTTCGTCGCTGTGCAATCTATCGGCCGCTGTCCTCGTCTCGACGAGCGTTCCTTACCCCTTTTCCCTCTACACCTCTTTGGGGGTAACCGGAACGTTCGGCCCTCTTGCCGCACCCTTTCCCTCTTGCACACTCCGCGACGGTCTCCCATTCTTTGTGCGCGCGTGTGTGCGAGCTTTACGTCCGACAATGTCTCGCCGCTCGATCGCTGCTTCGTTGATGATGGTGTATGTTGATACTAAAGGAGGGGCAAGAGGAATGAGGAGTATGCAGAGGGGGAATAACGGCGGCGACAGCGACGGCGACGGCGGCGGTCGGTCGAGCGTCTAGTCATGTGACCTTCCCGTCAAAATAGTTGCGTACATGTGTGTGTGTCCCTCTCTCCCTTTCTGTATATGGCTACGTATGTATACTGTTCACTCGGCTTCTCTACAGGGGCACGCGCGTGCTGCGCCAACTCGACGAACTTCGGGACACGCACCTTTCTTCCTACAATCCTTGTCTTCTCTCTCTCTCTCTCTCTCTCTCTCTCTTTTCCTACTATTAAAGCTGGCTGACTACTCATTGTCAGGGACGCCTGAAGGTATTGACTTCTTGTTTCCTTTCTTACTTGTCCGTTTGCTGCTTGCTTAGCTGACTGTCCCGACTTTCTTTCTTCTTCTTTTTATTTGTGTTATCTTATATTTTCTAGAACACTAAGATGTTAAGTCAATAATTTTCTGTTCATCATTTTATCTTTCTTTTTTTAATGATATATCTTGTGAATCGATAGATTTATCTGTTTATCGAAATTTGTTTATACCTGATACGTAGATTCTTTTCTTGAGATTGGACAGAAACTTGAAAAAAAATTATCGACTCTCTGTTTTACCTATCGTTGCTAATTATCGACGGAGTTGGTAATGTTAGAATGTCGGTAAGGAAGAAAATTTTATTATCAACAACGGATAAATTTACCGACCGATATTTTTAAACAATTTTACTTATCGATCGAATAAAATAAGTCTGTCGCATTTTTATCGATCTACTTTGACTACGTATTACCTTATTGTATGTTACCCGCGCAATTTCTAACACGTACACGGCTACGACGAGAGACGTAACCCTTCTTCGTGACCTCCATCCCCTGAAAGTTTATTATATATATATATATATCTATATATATTTTAATTTATAGTATTAATAAAGCAAACTCCTACGCGATTACTCTTTGCTTTCTTAGCAAAAGAAAAAGAAGAAAAAGAAAAAAAGAAGAAAGAAGATTAGCTTGAATGAAATAGAATAATCGATTAAGGAAGATAATCTTGATAATCTTGAATAATTAGCAATTGAATGAAACGCTGGAAAAGAGATTTTTCAATAAGCGATCCATGATCTTTTCGCAATTGAAAATTTCATTTCTATTTCCCTCAAGCATTGATATCGATTTGAAACACCCACACTCGTGGAGTAATATATCGTAGAAAGATAAAAGACATAAAATAAAACAAAATAGAATAGAAGAAAGAAAAAGAAAAGTAAAGTAAAGTAATAGAAAGAAAATAGAAAGGGACGAACTAACGTACGTAACGTTGTAACAGAATTTATTACGTTTCTTGTTAGGGGATTATACATGTTTTTTTTTTTTTCTTTTTTTTTTTTCGATAAACAGAGTAACTTTGATAAGGATTGGTATATTGATTTAAGCGCTCGAAAGGTGGCAGCGCGCGACACAATTATACGGTGTTTCAAATTACACTTATTCGTCTCGCGATGTCACCAATTGGATGGCTTTACGGACGTTTGTAACAATCTCTCTATTGACGTACTCTTTTTTAAAATCAAGTTTACATGTGCATAGAAACACGCAGAGACTGACATTTTGTTTGTTCTTTTTTTTTTTTGTTTTTTTTTTTGTTTTCCAAATATACTGCACCATCA